GATAAGGCATAATAATTCGACTCGAACTTCTTCTTGATGAAGGACCTTTCCTGCTTAAATAAAATCTTGAATGTATTCTCAAATGTTTTGCCGGCTACTTAAACAGTCATTTTCCAGGTTACATGCGACTGGGATGTCTTGCTCGAGATAAAGGACAAATTTATGAATCATCGGTCTGGTTTAAGGTATTCATTCTTATATTATTCTTCTTTCATTATTTCTTCCTAAAATTTTAGTTCCAGCTTTTGGATGTTTCAAAAATTTTTAGGAAGGGATGAGTGTAAACCAATCTCATGCTGATGCTTGGTCATTGATTGGGAATTTGCATATGTCAAAGTTTGAGTGGGCACCGGCACAGAAAAAGTTCGAATATATATTGAAACTTCCGGAATATCACGATGATCCATATAGCTTTGTTGCACTTGGCAATATTTGGCTTGAAACACTGTCTTCCATTCATAGAAAGAAAGAAAAGGTTTAGCCATACCTTTATTTAGGATATTTTTGCTTTTATTATCACTTTATCTATTTATATCTCTCGCATAACGTTTATGAGATATTGTTATAATGGGTTCAAACTCAAAATTGTTGCGTATGTACTTATGTGTTATGGAAATTTTTTTAGATCTTATTAATTTTTTATGAATGACGTGGATTTTTGATATTTACCATAAACCTGTTTTTATCATAATTTTAGAGATTCTAAACATAATTTTAACACATGTAGTGACTTATATTAATTTTAATATAATTTAGGATAAAGATTACCGTGAAAGAGCCCTGATGATGTATAGTAAGGCGCTGAAAGTACATCCGAAAAATATTTGGGCTGCCAATGGAATTGGTTAGTAGTACTTTTTTGAGCTATTTTGAACATTTCAAGCAGTAATCCTATAAGAATGTTCTCACTGTCGTTTGATTTGATTACATTATACATTGATCTGCATTTGATTTACTCTTCGTTGTAAGAATTATTTTAGGAAGGAAATTTAGTCTCAAAATATAAAGTTGTGATGAAAATATTTTCTTTTATTATTTTCAGGATGTATCTTAGCGCAGAAAGGAGCAATACAAGAAGCCAGAGATATTTTTGCACAAGTTCGTGAAGCGACAGCTGATTTCTCAGATGTGTGGATCAATATAGCTCATGTTTATATGGAACAGAAGCAGTATGTTGCGGCAATTCAGATGTATGATAATTGTATTAAAAAATTTAACCGACATAATGATGTGTCACTTTTGCTATATTTGGCAAGAGCACATTATAAAGCTGGAAAATTTTCCGAATGTAGACATATCCTTGAAAAGGTTTGTGCCCATCAATTATCCATATTCAGAGTTTTTTTTTTTTTTTTTTTTTTCACTATAGTTATTTGATGAATGATGATATAATCTCAAATAACTACTCTTCATTCCTTTTTTGCTCTTGGCTGAAATGGATGCTGTGGATTCTCACAAATAAAATTTCTGTAATAAATTGACGCTAATCAGTCAATTACATAACTAAGAATTTAACTATGAATTTATTACTTATTATTCTTTCTTCCAATTTAAATCTTGATTTTAGTATATCTTAACATAGTTGAATATTTTATAGGCTATATGTGAAGCACCAGATAACATGATGCTTAAATTCAATCATGCTTTTGTTTTGCAAAAATTAGCAACACAAATGCTTCGTGATGATAAATCATCACTTGAAATGGTGACTGGTGCTGTGGATGATTTGAGAACAGCAGCGACGTATGTCTCAGTTTTTTTTTTGGATTTTTATTGTTTATTTGATTATTGTTTTTTTTCTCTTATGTTTAAGTAACCAACAAGTTTAATTGCAGTCCTTATGATTCCAGAATTTTCGAATACATATCACGAAATAAAGATGATACAATGAGTCAAGCACGAATCGTTAGCCGAACTGCTTCTGCTAGCGAAGCTCGAGCATGCTATGATTTACTTACACAAGCACAAACTTACCTACAACGAGCCAAGGTGTTGCATACTGTTTTATCATGATTCATCAATGTATATTGAAACGATGAATTATCATCGTTTCTGTATACATTAGAAAAAATTAGTGATCTTATGCGCAAGCATATCACATTCAGCATCTAATTTAATATCGAGTCTGACTTTGTTCCTGTGACAAGTGCGTGCAAATATATTTTAGTTTATAATTTCTAGGCACAAGATGAGGAAGAACAAAGACAGCGACAAAGACAAGAAGAAGAACGACAAGCACTCAAACGGCAACAAGAACAAGAGGCTAAAGAGCGTGAAGAAAAAGCTAGACGGGAGCTTGAAGTTTTAAAGCAAATGCGACAAGAATATGTGGAAAAGACAAAAGAGATACTTAGGTTACCGACGGTATAAATAGATTCCTTGATTTTTTTTTTTTGTTTGAATTATCTTACTAGTTAATGATTAGATATAATTGTTTCCACTTCCAGGTTTGTTTTAATCTAAGTTGTAGGTCTTAATTGATGCTGAAGTCTTAATTTGGCTTTTCTAAAACATATTTGTAGATCGTTGAAGAGAAACGAGTACGTGGTAGTGGAAGACGTCGTAAAGATCGTGAAGGTGATGAATTCGTAAATGACGATAGCGATTTAGGTGACTGGAATGCAGGTGAAGGAGGAGAACTGCGAAAGAAGGTAGTTCTTTGTAAGATAATTGGTTGGTAGGTTAAAGAGGTCTTGAAGTCGTCCGACGAAATTTTTACAAGTTTTTCATTTAAGAAGGAAAGAAGGGGGCGTAAGAAGCGTGAGCGACGTGAAGTATCCAGTGGAGGAAGTGGTGGCGAAATAGATGAAATAGAAAGTCGTAATCGCAGGGAAGGGCGTAAATCAAAGAAAATGCGTTTCGATCGAAATGATTTTGAATTGAGCGCAAAACAAAAAACGAAAGGTTCTTATCTTTCCTGTTTTTAAATTCTCACAAAATTTAAAGGTTCGTTCTGAGCTTCAATCTGTAATGATGAAATTAGTAATTCTGTATGGATCAAGTTTTTCATAAATTTTTTGTCGTTATGATTCTTTTTTTGGTTTTTTGTTAGTGTTTTTTTGTCACATATTTTGAAGGTTATTTTTATCACATTTATTGCTTCCATTTCCATTCTTCATTTGTCTTGTATCATATTTCTACCTTTTTTTTAGTGAAAAGTCGTGAATTTGTACAATCAGATGAATCAAGTTCGGACGAAGATGCCAATAAGCCATCGAAATCACGACTTTCGGATGACAGTGATGATGCAGCTGGATCTCCTGAGCCGGTGAAAACTGCTGAAAGTGATAGCAGTGCTGCAGAAGATGCTATTAGACGAACAGATTCCGATGATGACAGGTTCATACATTTTCATTTTTTTAAGTTATACAATATATTAGGATAGTTTAGTAATTTATGAAAATGAGTAAATTCAAACAAAGCGCAACTTGGATGTGATGATAATGCTTTAGCAAATGTTGAGATGAGTTTTGATTATTTGTTTCTATTACATCAAACTCTGATTTTTGTTTTCGAACTTATTTGTTAAAATCTAGTTGTATATATTATGTTTGGATCTTTATAATCACTGAAGTATGATCACTATGACTCGCCTAGATTTTTATCTTATACGACATTTACTGCGATCAAATCCTATTTAGTGCGCATCTTTAAATCACTTGTTCTCAACTTTCATACTTGCTTCCTCACTTCATCCAAAAACTAAACTAAACCTTAAGGCTGGATTTTGCAGCGGAAAAAAGTTTCGGAATGGGTTTCACTGTCTTTCCTTTCGTAACAGGTCGTAATAGGGTAGCCTTCTTGGCTACCCTATTACGGTATTATTCCTTTTTAAAGTATTCTTGAAGTGAACCTAATGAATGAGTGAATAAGTAATCACTAAATGGGCAAATATGATTAGATTTTAGGATTTAATTTTTCAGTTTCAACTTTCATTCCGACATTCATTTCGTTCCGAATATAATTACTACTCATAAAAAATAATTCTGTTCAGTGACAATGAGCAACCAAAATCAAAACATCGTATAACCAACAATTCGGATCAGAGCAGTGCTGAAAGTTCAACAGAAGATCGAGCACGCTCACCTAGTGACAGCGATGATGATGGAGTCGAGAAAACACCCATGAAGGCAACCAAAAGGAAAAAAATAGTTTCATCAGATGAGGACAGCTCAGAAAATAACGGAATTGCTGAAAGTAATGCAGTTGTTGGTGACAGTGGCGTTGACGAAGATGCTGGTTTCGCGATCGCTGATGATGACTGAATCGGATTGGTATAGGTGGAACTTTTGTTTTGTAGTTGTTTGTGGTTTTTTAAATTGAATTGGTAATGGTAGTTTTTGTTGGAATCCAAATTCTTGTCAACTTTTTAGAAAATTTAGTCATAGTTTCTTGAACGGACAATTTGTAATTGAAAATGCAAGTTATAAGATTCTGTGTGGATTTAAAATTCAGCTGAACTGTTTTTTTTTTTTTTTTTCTTTTTGATATCTTTAATTTCATTTATCAAAATATTAGTTTCATTCTTTTCGAATCTGATCATATTTGTTTTTCAGAAATTAGGTGATGGTTTTGTTTTTTCTCTTCTTTAAATTGAATAGAGGATATGATGAGAAGATTGTTTAATTAATGTAACTTTTTCCAATACATGTAAGGGTATGAAAATTGCAAGGATTCAATTATTATAAACTATTTTTTCAAACAATAAGTATGTGCACTAGCTATGTACATTTTGCACTACTACTTCAACATCATGAAAAAAATTAGAAGATCTCGATGATGAATTATTTTCATAGCTTTGCTTTGTTCGTGTATGCATAAAATAGATTCATTTCGACAAAATGTTATAATCAAATTCAAATTTAGCGAACCAAAATCTCAAAAATATGATGAGATCAACGAATGAGACTTCTTCTGGAAATCGTTGTTACATTCCATTCCTTTTAAACTGAATCACAATAAAGTTTTGATAAACTACACTCCTAGTTTCAATGCATGATTCACTGAACATAAATATTGGCTCGTAGTTGTTTACGCCATTTGCTACGTCGATTTTGAAACCATACCCGAACTTGTGCCTCCGATAACCCAAGTCGTTCGGCAAGCATTTCACGCTCTAGAAAAGTTTACAAAAATTCTCGATAATTTTGTTAATTTTATGATTCAATTTCTCTCAGTACTTCAGAATTCTAAAATTTCTCTGAAATCATACTGAAAGGGATTTTCCACATTCTAAATTCATACACTATGATTTCAGCAGGACTTTGATTTATGAGATTTAAATTCGTCCCAAAATGCTTTCAGGTGTTATTAACTTTATCACTGACCTTTATTCATGCAAACGGGATTTATGGACGAATTCAAATATTTAAGTTTTTCGGTTATCTTAATTTTGTTCAATCTTACCTGTTCCAACCATATACTGTTGCTCCTCAAAAGCTTTCTCCAAAATTTTAGTTTGTGAAACACCATAAATAGTTCGTTGCTTTCGACCTTTGCCATTTCTTTCGTCATGCTGTTGCCGATTAGATGCCGGAATATTACAACGTTTATTCAGGGTAGATCCACCGCAATGTTTCCGGAGCAGTCGACTGATGGAGAAATCCGACGATCGTTTCATATCTGTTCCAATTGTATTATGATCGGAATTATTTTCGATTACGGAAAACTGTCTCGGAAGACGTGTTGTAGTTGAGGGACATCTAACAGGAGTTACCCATTCGGTTGGCTGTTGAAAATTGTTTCTTTCCGATATTTTATGATTAGAGGTCAAAGCAGAAGCAGGTGATGTCTGAGGAGTAAATAATGAATTGGAAACTTGTTGATCCAGTTGAAGTAATGTTAATGGTATTAAACTTTCCAAAGATGGTAATAAAGGATAGCAGGTAGCACTTGCATTTAATGTCGGTTCCTTTATGGTATTTACGTCCGTAAAAATATTTAACGTTTCAGGACATTGATTGCTATTAATTGGACTAAGATTTTGAGATTGTTGTAGTAGATGTGATTGTTGTTGCTGTTGTTGAAATGTTGATGATGTATTAAACAATGAAGAGAAAAGAGCAGATGGACCGGTTGGTGTAACCGGAAGTGGAAATCGGGAAGTAAGGGATGAACATCGGTTCTGAGTAATTGGTGGATTCACATAAGATGCTACAGTTATAGCAGCGCTACAAGGTGACGCATGTAGGCACATATTTCTTGGGCACACCGAATCTAAAATTTTCATTTTTTTACAACAAAATTTTAAAATGCAAATATCAAAGAATAATGAAATTTCAATCATATTAAAATGATCTTTTTTAAATTTAAAATTATAAAAGAATTTTTGAAATGGAAAAATGATTGAGTTTATTAAAAATTTCCAAAAATGGACCAAAATAAATCATAACAAGCATCTTAATAAATATTGAAATTAAAAATTTGAAATGGCCTTAACCTTAAGAAAACTTGATCATAGAGACAAATCATACTATAATTAATCTTATCTGCAACTAACTTATATGTCTGATTGAAAATATAAACTATTTATGTGTATGTGTATGTATGTATGTGTATATGTATGTGTATGTGTGTATGTGCGTGTATGTGTAATCCTATATTTAATAAATTAGAATGTATGTTTTGCCATAGAAAAGCCTATGTTTTTTTTTTTTTAAATTTGTAACAAGGATTGCCATCATAGAATTATCATAATGAGAGGTTATGAATAAAAGAAAGCATTTGCTAGGCCTTAAAGTAAGTATAAACTTAAAATTTTATCAGTCATTAATTCTTCAAATGACATACGAACAATTTCTCTCTCTCTCTCTCCCTCTGTCCCTCCCACTCTCTCTCTCTTTCTCTGCAATTATCAGTAAATTTGCAAGAATCTTCAATAAATCACATCAAATTTAAATTTTAATTTGTGATTTACTAAGAAAAAAAAGTGCAAAAAAAATAAGCATTAAAAATAGAAAAAGAAAAAAAAAAACTTTTTTTTTTTTAGAAAATTAAAATGAAAATCGAATGATTAACAATAATTGCAAATATTTTTAAACACATTTGCAATTATTTAGTTTTTTCTTTCTTTAGTTTAGTTACATAATAAATAGAATTGAATTAAATCAAAAAATTTTTAGAATAAATTATTTTATAGCACAAAAAAGATTGTTTATCAAAAATTGTTTGTCAATAATTAGCATTTTATGAATTCTGTATGACACAGTAAGCCATACAGTCCGTCTTCCGTATCTTTTCTTTCCCTATTTTCATTTTCATTTCCATTTTCCATACATATCTTAGAATTTTTTTTTTTTTCTCATAGAAAATTTCAAATTAAATTTGCAAGAAAAAAAAGAAAGAAAAAAAAAAAAACATATTAAAATGCAATTGAACTAAATCAAAAAATTTTGAAAGATAAATTGTTTTACAGCACAAAAGAAAATTGTTTATCAACTAGTCGCATCTGCATTTTTTGACAAAGAATGAGAATCATTTAGCTATTTGATAAGATGAAAATTTCATTTCAATCGTAAAAAATGACGGATCATTTATTCGCATCATAAATCATGCTTCAGTCATTATTATTTTTATCAATGATATAAACAATTGCTATTATTGTTATCAATCATTGCCACTATCATTAATCATTGTAATTTGACAAAGTTTGAAAAAAATGATAAAATAAAATAAGAAAAGAATGAAATAATGAAATGAATGAAAATAGAATATGAAGTAATTTATTCCATAAAATAATTTTTAAATAATTCGAGTGAAAGGATTTTTGAGACGTCATTACTTAATTATAATACTTAATCGTACTTCATTAAATTTTTTGAACTTTAAATATTATTATTAGTTAATTAACAAGTCAATTTATTTATTACTACTTAATTATTAATACTAATAACATTAATAATAATAAACACCAATTAATAATAATTAATTAGTTGATCATTATTCCTATTTGACTCCTTAACTTAATGTTAAATCTTGCAATTAATAAGAAAGTTTTACTTAAAACAATTGTCAATAACTTTTATATAATGCAAAAGTATTTGTAACTCTATTTTGGGGTTTACGTTAATATTTATTTCCCTCTACATTAACTCAATCAGTTAATTATTTCATTTCAGATATAAAAAAACAATTTATTAAATTTGGATTAAAATTTACATTCGATACAGTCACCAAATACGGTTAACAACAGATATTCAGAATATAACTTTACGGTAGTAATTAACAGAGATTTTAATAATGAAATTCGAAGCTGTAAAAAGTAATTATTTCTCATTTAATATTATAATATTATTATAAAACAAAATATTAAATATTTCGATTAAGTTATTTGTTTATCAACAAACTAACATTTAAATAAGCTATTTTTTTTAGCTCTTCAGCTAAAAAAAAAATTGAATCATTTAACTGATAATTTGTTAGAAAGAAATAGTAAAGAACAATGCGCCCTATAATGTGTCATTTGTTAAATTAAATTAAATTTTGTCTAATCTTTATTTTAAATTATTTTATTAGTTTGAAACAAAATTTCATTCTTTCCACTTTTATTTTATTTATTTCAAATATAAATGTTGCGTGATTTAATGAGTGAAATTTTTATTTATTCTTTTACAGTTTCTTTCTTCCTTTCATTCTCTTTCAACATGCAAACTTGATAAAAAAATTATTCACTTTACCGCCACTATTAACGAATCGAAAAATTTTAATATATTTTATATACTAACAAAAAATAAAACAAAAAAGAAAGAATGAAAAAAATGGTATATTTGAGTTCAAAAAAAAAAAAAAGGAAAAGAAAAAATGAATTCAAAAAAGAAATTCAATATTGGAAGAATATTTGACTGATGCAAAATGATGCTAAAATTTAATTTGATTAAATTTTACATAAATGAATTTAAATATATAGGCAACATTACTTCGTTTTTTTATTTCTTTTCTTTTCTGTTTTTCTTTTTTTCTTTTGTGTTTTTCTTTTTCTTTTTAACAAATGATAATAAAAAAATCAATTAAACATTAAATTGAATTAAGTGAATTGAAATGAAATAAAAACGGAGCAAAACTGAGAAATAGATTTTGTGAGGAAACAAAATGAATTGAATTAAATCAAATTAAATTAAACTTGAGCAAAAATTGAGCAGGCAATTAGTTATTTAGTTGCTGTAAATGTAATTGATGTAATTTTCAACCACTTATCAATTATCATCACATCAATCAAAGTGCTCTCTCTCTCTCCCTCTCTCTCTCTCTCTCTCTCTCTCTCTCTCTAGACAGTATATGTGAAAGGCGTGACAAGAAATGAAAAGAAGGAACAAGGCCTTGATGAACTGATCATAAAAATGCTCCAGCTAAACTGATTAAGGAGGAAGCAACACAATGTTTATGTATGTATGTGTATGTATGTATGTGTGTGTATGTATGTGTCTGTCTGTTTGTCTATTTGCGCATTTGTGTACTGAAAGTGGATGAGAAGAGGCGGAATAGTGCTAAAAGGCAGTAAATGAATAATTAGCACTATTAATCGTTGTGCATATATGTATGGCAGCTATAAAGGCAAAATCGGTGAATTGAGGCTGATTTAAAAGGTGGTAACTTAATTAAATGTTGCCTAAAGCTATGCAATTACCCACATGCATGCATGCAAATGATGCATGCATGCATGTATGCATGTGTATAGATACTTCTTTTCACTATACACACATATCATATCAATTAAAACATGCAAAATATGTATATAAAATACTAAATGAGATCATTTATATATTATTTATCACTCTTATAAGTGCTATCATTAAATTATACACAATTTATCACTGTTAATTATAATTTGTATAATTATGCAGCAACAGCTAATTGCTCCTTCTTTCCTTATATTTCAGTTGATATACTATATTTATTATTATTATTATTATTATTATTATTACTTATTATTATTATTACTATTATTGTTATTTATTATTATTATTACTTATTATTATTATTATTATTATTATTATTATTGCTATTATTACTTATTATTTATTATTATTATTATTATTATTATTGTTATTATTATTATTTATTATTTATTATTATTATTATTGTGACGATGATGATGATGATGATGCTAATATATGTATATCAAATTAAAACTGATATTTGAGTTTGAAGAAGAGTAAGCAAAAAGAAGGGAGGGAGATAGATAGATAGAGAGAGAGAGAGAGAGAGATGGAGGAGAGAAAGAAGAAAAGAGTTAATGAGGTTGAGAATGAGATAAACTGAAAACTATTATGGATAATTTCCAATAGATTCAATTAACGACTAATTAACTAAGATATTTGAAATATTTAAATGTTTCGCAAATAGAAGAATTATAGTGTGGCAGTTTTCAATATCAATAATATATTAATGATAAAAGACGAGAAATTCTTCATCTTTTGGAAATTTGCATGAAAAAAAAAAAAAAAAAAAGAAAAACAATGTTACAATGAATAACGAAATTTCTCTCATGAAAAAGAGAGAGAGAGGGAGAGAGAGGGAGAAAGAGAGCAAAAGAAAGACTTTTTTTTGTCTAAGAGGAAAGAGAGAAAGATGCTTATCATTAATATTAATTAGCAAAATTAAATTCATAAAATGAGCGAACTGACTGACTCAAATTGCTGTATACAGGCGGATTACCAAGAAAATTAAAAAAAGAAAAAAGAAAAAAGCATTTATAATTTATTCATTATAATCGGTATTTGCTTCCAACTGTTTCGCTCAATTATAATTCATAGGTATTAGACTATTGATGGTTAGTAATAATTATTTTAGGCTTATCTCTCTCTCTCTCTCTTTTCATATCAAAAGATTTATTTCGCTTATGGAATAAATTAGAAAATCTCTTTTTTTTTCCTATTTTAAATTTTAATTAATTAAATTAATCAACTTTTTATAAAATTGATCAAATGTTGGCTAATTTTTCATCACATTCATCCATTTTTCTTTGTTGTTATTTCATTTATATGTAAAAAAAAAGGCAAAAGAAAAAAAATGTAATTTGAAGAAACAAAAAACATTTTAACCGAAAAATTAATCGAATCATATTGACATTTTTATTAGTTCACACTGCAATTTTTACAATTTTAAAATGATAATTGGTAAAATGGAAAAGAATGGAGCAAACTAAAAAGTGTTATTTTCATTGGTTCAAATTTCAAAGAATTGTGAGATTTAAAAAGGTCAAAGAATTGATTTTGCAAAATTTAAATTTTT